GATTACGTGTGGAATGGAAGTAGAATGTAACTGGTCCTTTGTTCTTCTGAGAGTGTTCTGAGAGAAAGGCTTGATGCTGGATGAGCCATGTGACATTCCCTTCTGTTGGACACTGGTTGGTAAATGGAAGAGAATGTTGTCTCAAGGGAACATGCAGACGAATAGCTGAGAAGTTGATGAAAGCATACAGCCTACATGGGATTTCCATCCTCAGACTGAAGACAGAAAATCAAAATATGTAAGACCTACAATAAAACATTAACAAGACTGGGGGTTCTTTTGCTGCACACAGTCAGGTGATATAATAAAGGTACCATACCATTCCCGTGTACGATTATCAAGCCATATCATCATGAAGAAAGATCACTTTAATGGGAAAGGAAAACACGACCAATTAAGAATATTGAATTAGTCTAAAATTACACAATTGACCAAACCTCAGAGCAACCTTGCAGAGACTTAGCAGAGGACTGTGTTGTTTGACTCAAAATAAATGTGGAATAACTCGTGCAGAACAGAACAGGCTGCAGTACACAAGTTTGTGTTAAGTGACAAGTGGCTGAACTCAGTCATATGATTGTTTGGTCATTACTGCGCTGTGGTTCATGATAATATGATAACATCCTAGAGGCTGTGGAGATAGACAGGCACTGATGCATCATACTGTGCCTACTGCCAAACCAGAAGACAAGCCCATGCATTCTGTAGCTAATCATCAAACCAGAAGACAAGCCCATGCATTCTGTAGCTAATCATCGTTATCAGCAGTGATCTGTGTCCAAGCAGACTACCCCTATGCCACTGAAGTCATTTTAGCTTACAGTTAACAACAGCCTAGGAGGCACTAAAACAGTGCTATACACTGTACAGTAACTATTATTACTTTGAAAGTAAAAATGCACATAAAAGACCCAGCAAAAAATGAGACTGTAGCTGACTATCATTGCCAAGTCCTCAACAGGACTGTTGCATCCAGGAGATGTGGAGTCAGTTCAAAGACAAATGGCCTGTTACTGGTTATGATGAGGACCATGAAAGTCCTCAAGTATATTGACAAGTTAAAAGAACTGAAAATTTTAGTCTTGAACAGAAAAGAAACTGGGCTAACCTGATTCTTGTATTCAAGATCTTCGACAAAATCAACCCAATGAACTCCCATGGAATCACATTTTCTGTACTCTGGTCTAGACAGTGTCTGGGAGCCGTACACTTCTGAATGATCAGCATCCCCATGCTAATCCCGATCTGTGTCTTTATATAACTTTGTGTTTTGAAAACTCCTTGATCTTCATGGTTGAATCATTGCTTGAAATTCACTGCCTGACTGTGAGACCTTAAAGAGATAAATGTTTTTGTTCTGAAAGTATTGCTTAAAGAGGTTACTTAAAAATTGTGTGGCTTGTTTATACAGTACCAGTCAAAAGTTTGAGTAGTGTTCTGGACATATGGTGCTATTTGTGTGAAGGTTGTATGTTCTCCCCATGTTTGCATGGGTTTCTACCAGGTGTTGCAGTTCCACCACCAAAACAAATGAAAACATACTGGTAGGATAATTGACTTCTGGGAAAATCGGCCTGCTTTCCAACTGTTGATTGCTGGAATAAACTGTGGCTCCTCCACAATCCTGAAGAAGCAGTTAAAAATGGATGGGATTAATGTTTCAATAAAGATTTTGCTAATGATGGCTCTTACAGACAATAAAACATAAGTGAAATGGAAAAATAAGCAGAAATGGTAAAGTGAATGCAAGCATATCTTGAATCTAATTTTAATAAAACAAGATGGTATATGCAAGAAACGTGTCTCTTCATCCCTTATATCTCTGCCTTTGCAGCCAGCTTTATTACTTGATTATTTCATCTGTGCTAGTACCCAGCTGCCATCATTGGTCAGATCTCATCATTAGGATTGGAAAAAATGAAATATACTGTTTGAAGAGAATATTTAGAAAAATATATTTTTCATTTTTTCTATAGCTATTCTAACACTTCTTAGGACACAGCTATTTCACTGTCAGGATTTCTGACAGCTTAATTTTCAAACAAAGTCAAATTTAAACAAAAAGCAAAATATTATACATACGTGGAGAACAAATATGACAACAAATCCCTTCGCAATGTCTTACAGATTCTAGAACATGTTCCATAACATAAAAGAGGTGTTTCTGATACAAATGTATTTAGATATTTTTAAGTAAGCCTTGTTATGGCTGTGGCTTTGAATACTGTATGTTTTTTCTTACTACAAGAAGGTAAAAGGCTGCAAATACAGAATGAATAGCTTTGGGAAAAATATGTTGCAAACATTTACCTTAGAGGTCTACCTATTAGGCTCTACCTAATATGTCACAGACACAAGATTTTAATTAAATAATTTTGGCTGTGTCATATCATTTAGCAAACAATGTAACTGAAATGCAAACAGTGCACTTCACCTGGTTTCCCCTGCACACTGAAACACAGTGGACTATATTTCTGAAGGATTTCAGTTGTTTTAAATGTATTGTACATATTTCAGAAAGGAAGAAAATAACTCATGTTACAAAATGAAGTAATTTACAGAGGTTGTAGTTTTTTTTACAAATTCTTTTGTGTCTTTAAACTTCATTATGTTGGTTTTTCATTAGAAAATAGACTGTTACAAAATTGGGATGATGGTTAATGTATTATAGATATAACTCATTATACTGTATACCGTAAATGTTTTATGAATGATACACATATAGATATTTCATGTCTACTTTCAGATATATTTGCCACTATAAACCTCTATGTTGATGGTTCAGTCTTTGCAAATATTAATAACAACTACGATCAACCAGCATACAAGGCTAAGAATGACCTAGAATTCCAAGGTTAATATCCTTTAATATAAGTCCCCAAGATGGACCATAATAATCCCTGACTGAACATATTAGCTTTACTTTCCCTAAAGGGGTGTACTTCAGGTTGCTTCTCACCAGCCACTAAAACGTGTGATTCGTTGATTTAATAAGCACACTAAACTAATTTCTGTCACCCTGTCTATGGGTTCAGTGCAGGATATGTGCTTGCCTATGGTCCCAGACTCGGACGTTTTGATAATTTCTTCAGCGGTGACTTTACAAAGGTTATCATTTATTACACAGAAAAAATACTTTTGTGTAGTCTTTTAAAATTGAAATTCAGAAGGAAGGTGTTTCCTATAACATTAATTCACTTTCAGAAGTAGAACACCATTTGATCTCCCCCTAGAAATTATTTTAGGGTAAGTAGTAGGGGAAGTAGTGATGGACTGAGCTGATTAAGAATTGGTAATTTACTGAATTGGTTCTTTACTGAAGTTTGGGAAGGATAATGACAGACAAGCTAGTCTCAGCCAGCTGTTTTAAATCACAATCATTGCTGACTTTCACTATACAGTATATCTAACTCTTTGCACATACCTGTACCTTTTCTGGCAATTTTTGCATTCATTCCTCTTCCACCCTATCCACCTTAGCAGCTAACCCTTGTTTAACTCCTTTCTCTGAATGGGGATCAAGCCTCCTCATATTCTGGCCAGAAGGCTACCTGTTAATAAACAATAAATATTTGCAAAGCATCTGATTCTTGGATGTCATTATTGCTTGTGAAATAAGCATTGTGAACAAAAGAAATCCAGGTATTGCTGAAGATTTTTAGCTATGATTAAAGTTTACTTCAACTGTTGGATACATTGTCTTAACACTGCTCTGATAATATTGC